TGCTCTAATTGCCAAAATACACTGCACTATAATTATACTGTCCATAGGGGCCCACAAACTTTTGGATCTGAAACTGCAAGTCACTTTTGGTGTGAGCGAATTTGCCATCTGCAAGGTTGTTGCCCAGGAGACACCTGGATGTTTTGATGTGTTACCACCCTTGTGGGGGGCTTCTCTCATGTCTCCAAATGGAGAGCTGGAGCTGATAGAGGGAGCTCATCCACACTCTCCCCAGATTCGAACCTCTGACCTGTTGGTCTTCAGTCCTCCAGCACAAGGGTTTAATGTCAGGAGAGAATGCTTCTGGAACATGGCCGTACAGACGGAAAACTCACAGCAACTCAGTGTATTAATTGATGATTCTATGGCGGTAGAACATAAACAAATAGATTCAAATTACAAGAAAATCCACAAGCATGTGGACAATTTCAAAAGAAAGGAAGAAACCATGAATATGAACAAAATCTGGCTACCAGTACTGAAAAACTGTAAAATTATAACAGTAAATAAAGAATAAACACAGGGGAACACCTAATCACCTCTCAACAAAGGATTCTCCCAGGCAGTAACAAGCCACACCTAAAAACTGTCAGGCCATCAAATGCTAATCAAGGTGGCCAATTGAAACATTCACACCTAGCTCCAACAGACAAGAGTTTTGTCCCACCCTGGTCATTCCACAGATATATAAACCCATTTTCCTAGTTCCAACAGACCTCACTACCTCTGAGGATGCTTGCCACAGATGCAGGCGAAACATCAGGAGAGAATGCGTCTAGAACATGGCCAGACAGCCCGAAAAACCTACAACATCCCTAAAGGAAAAGACATTTGACTTAACAGTAGGAGGAATTTCCTGATAGTAAGAGATATTGGACTATCTTGGACCCTCCTCTGTTGGAGCTTTTTAACATTTGAAGGATCCCTTCCGCTGATGAGAGGTTGGATGAAATAGCCTTTGTCCAATTATCCAACGCTACAGAATGGGACTCTGTACAGTGGAAACCAGTGACATTCAAAACACATATGTGAGAGCTTCGCAGAAGCAAGGGGAAGATGTGATATTGAGTATTGCTGTCTATGATTACATGGTTTTGAGGGTGTCTTAGACAAATGTCTTCCCGTATTCAAAGAGAACACCAAGATTCACCCTCCCCTTCTGTGCAAAACACCAGGCATTTGTATTCCAAGTTGATAAGTCATTTATACAGTTCCTTAGCCACCGCACAGACTTCACGAGATCTGAAATTAACTGATCGGAGGTAAGTGAAGGATTTTGAATCATTCATGTATGATGGATAAGTGTGCGCGTAGTTAAAATTATATTGTTTTAAATTATGTCCTTGTTTTATGTTTCGACTTTTTATAGAGTTTTATGTAGTGTAAAATCGCATGTATTAACCTTCTGCCATCTTTCCCAGACTTTCTCCCGAAAGAAATATTTCTGCTCGAATAGTTTCTCGCCAATAAAGGTAAAAACAAAAACCCAAAGGGATATATTTCCTTCTCGATCGCTCAGTAGCACTCATTAGCATTAATGGAAGTTACGCATGCAGAAATGCACCCGAGGAGGAAGAATCCCCATGGTGGGGTGTGTATCCCGCTTCACATCCATAAGCTTATGCAAAACTTAAAAATCTAGACCAGCGGATGAGTAACGGAAGTGCCAGGCACCAAAAGAAGCAAGTTTGCTCAAAGTTTCAAACTCTTCAGGAATACGGAAGCTCTGACTGCCACGCTCAAACTCTTTCTCAAACACTTGTGAGGTTGCAATGGGATTCTCACTTGTAGGATGAGTGAAGAGAGGGGAGGACGGACAGGGGACAGTTCCACTTGTCTCCTACATATGTCATCAGTTGGGGACCCCTCCCCCCAGCACCAACTACTGCCCTGGACCAGAGTGAAGAGAGAGGGTCCAGGGGACAGTTCCATCTTGTCTCCTGCATATGTCATCAATTGGGGACCCCTCCCCCCAGAACCAACTACTGCCCTGGACCAGAGTGAAGAGAGAGGGTCCAGGGGACAGTTCCATCTTGTCTCCTGCATATGTCATCAGTTGGGGACCCCTCCCCCCAGCAACAACTGCAGCTCTGGGCCAGAGTGAAGAGAGAGGGGGCCAGGGGGCAGTTCCATCTTGTCTCCTATGCTATGCTAATAATGTAATGTAATGTAATATATTGTATATACATATAATATTTATAATATTATAATGTAATACAATATAATACTAATAATATTATATTATAATTATATATTTTATATTACATGTAATATTACTAATAATATTACAATATAATGGTATAGTACAATATAGAAATATATAATACTGATATTGTACTATGCTAATAATATAATATATTGTATGTATATATAGAATCATAGTGTTGGAAGAGGTCTCATGTGCCATCCAGTCCAATCCCCTGCCAAGAAGCAGGAAGATTGCATTCAAAGCACCCCCAACAAAGGGCCATCCAGCCTCTGTTTAAAAGCTTCCAAAGAAGGAGCCTCCACCACACTCCAGGCAGAGTTCCACTGCTGAACAGCTCTCTCTCACAGTCAGGAAGTTCTTCCTAATATTCAGATGGAATCACCTTTCCTGTAATTTGAAGCCATTGTTCCACCTTGGTCAAAGGTCTAGAAACCAAAGCCTAGGAAGAAAGGCTTAAGGAGCTAGGTGTGTTTTGCTTGGAGAAAAGAGGACTGGGAGATTATATGATAGCCGTTCTTTCAACATCTGAAGGAATGACATGCAGAAGACACAGAGAGCTTGTTTGTTTTCTGCTGCTCCAGAGGACACAAAACAATGGATTCACGTTACAAGAGAGGACCTTCTCAATAGTGCCCTCCCCCCTCGACTCTGGAAGGCCCTCCCCAGGAAGATTAGACAGGCAGCCACCATCACAACTTTTAAGAAGGACTTGAACACCTGGCTGTTTCAAGAGGCCTTTGAAAATGATTAGATTAATATCTCTTAATATGGATGAGGTCTTTGTTTTAATGTTTTATGGATATACTCTGATTCAGATATTTTGGCTTGTATTTAACTTATTGGAATCACTGTGTTTAAACTAATTTTTATACTGTTTACTGTCTAATAATAATAATAATAATATGATATCACTAATAATATTACAATATAATGGCATAATACAATATAGTAATATTTAATACTGATATTGTAGTGTGCTGATAATATATTGTATGTGTGTGTATATATGTGTATGTGTGTATGTACATATATATCTTGTAAGCAGCTCTGAGTCCCCTTCAGGGTGAGAAGGGCGGTATATAAATGTAAATAAATAAATAATCAATTTTGTTTTATTTTGTGCTCTTTTTATTGATTTGTCATTATATTGTATATATTATTTACTAAATTTATCCATGCTATAAGATGCCCCAAGCCCCTTCAGGGAGATGGGGCAGGATATATTATTATTATTTGAAACACAACAAAATTAGTGCACAGTAAACAAGATCACTCTGCTGGTTGTTGTATTGGGTCACACATCAACACTTCCCAAGTGTCTAGGACTGTGTGATTATCGGTGAATAATGCGTGCAGTTCCCAGTAAGGTGGCGTCTGCTGCTGGCAGATGGTAATTTTGTCATCGCTGATTGTGTTTAAGTGCAGGCCAAGGTCTTTAGGCACTGCAGCCAGTGTGCTGATCACCACTGGGACCACATTGACTGGTTTGTGCCAGAGTCTTTGCAGTTCGATCTTTAAATCCTTATTATTATTATTATTATTATTATTATTATTATTATTATTATTTGAAACACAACAGGATGAGTTAACAGCAAACAAGATCACTCTGCTGGCTGTTTTATTGGATCACATGTCGGACACTTCCCAAGTGTCTAGGACTGTGTGATGTATCGGCAAATAATGTGCGCAGATCCCAGTAAGGTGGCCTTTTGCAGCTGGCAGATGGTAATTTTGTCAGCGCTGATTGTGTTTAAGTGCAGGCCAAGGTCTTTAGGCACTGCACTCCCCATCCGGGACGTTGGCGGGGGGCTTAACTGCTTCTATGATGTTGAGAGCTGTGCTGGCGGTAGTGTAAACTACCAGCAGGTTCAACCAAGCCAGAGTGGTCTCAACTGAGAAGTAGAACTAAGTGCACCCAACCCATTTAAATATGGTGAAACAAACTCTAAAGAAGTCTATACTGGCTCGGTCATCACCCAGGATAATAAGGACCGCGGTGAGTGCTTCTCCTGGGCACCCGTCGAGAAGAGCAACCAGGGCATGGGCCTGTAGAGCAACTGGAAGCAAAACAACTACATAAGTGGCAGAAATTTTCAATGCTACAGAACCAAATAATAATAATAATAATTATTATTATTATTATTATTATTATTATTATTATTATTATTATTATTATAGAAAAGGTTCCACCTCAACATCAGAAAGGATTTCCTGATAGCAAGAGCTGTGGAACAGTCAGACTGCCTCAGAGAATGGTGGACTCTCTATATTTGAATTGTCTTTAAACAGAGGCTGGATGACCATCTTTCGTCAGTAGTTTAACTGTGTATTCTTGCACAGCAGGGGGTTGAATGAGATGAGATAGTCATTAGGTTCCTGTACTATTCTATGATTCAGGCCAAGGCCCCTGCTTCTTGTACAACACCTAGAACAAACGCTTATTCATAATTTCAAAGACCATTACCACCTGAAAGATAACCCAATGAGGCTTTCATATGAAAATCCTGGTGACTCTTCTACCTGCTCTAGGACCATGTCCCTCAACAAAGGAAAGGCGCACCATGCCAAACCCACCAGATGATCTTTGCAGCGTGCTGTTTTTGGGAGGCAAGGGCCCCGCCAGGTCCAAGCACTCCAGAGACCTTGAGAGATCCAACTACATGCCGCAGGACAAATACGGGCCAGTCCCTCACTGCCAGCTTCCAAAGCCATCTGTGAAACTCCTGGAACCAGATTTAAGCAAGAGAGGCTGGAGCGAGGCGTCCATATTTTACTAATGCACAAATTCCTGTTCCGTTGTTTCTAAGTTGACAAATATCTATTTCACGGGAAAGAAACATCCTGGGAACAGCTGGGTGGCAGTTTCAAGCTCAAATGAGCCAGAACCGCATGCTGGCAAGTCACCTCTGATTGCTTCTGAATGGCAGCACATGGAGATTTATGCCCAGCCATAAATTAGGACAATTATTTCTCTCTGGTTTGCTTTCTATTCCATGCCGCAAACTCTTGCGCTTTACTCTTCCCCCTCCCTCCTCTTTTTTTTTTTTTTTTTGGTTAATAAAAAGGATATCTTCCCTTTCTTTGATAATGAGTTCATTCTGTTCCTCGAGCTGTCTGATCTTCTTCTCAAACGACTCCTGCTCCGCTTTCAGCCGCTCTTCTGTCACCTCTTTTTCTTCGCTCACCCTGGAAAAAGCATGAAAGAACGCATACATGATCAGACAAATAAGAGGCATGAATGCGGAGGAGAAAAAAGGCTCCTGTTCAGGGGCAGCAGGGTAACCCTCTACTCACCCAATCGCACGAGGAGGCACCGGGGAGTGTACAGAGTTCCTGCCATGGCTCAATTATGCAGCCCTTTTTTATCTGCAAGGAACTGACATCCCCCCCCCTCCCTTCTTCCTGCATTCATTCTCACCGGCCACCATCTGAAATGGGTCACTCTTGCTGTTTGACCAATACGAAATACTAAAGGCTGCAAATTGAAGCCAAACTGGTAGAAATAAGATGGGAAACCAGTTCATCAGGCTCAAAATCTGGGCATAAAATACGCTCCCTTCAGAGGCCCAATTGGAGACAAAACATGGTGTATTATAAGTAGCTGTTTTAATATCTTTTTATCTCTCCGTGCTATTTCATCTTTGAAAGTGTAGATTTGAATCACCGTGACATCAGCAACAGTTTAATCCCATTTTAATGTTCACGTCTTTGCACATTTGTAGCTGACCTGTGCATTTCAAATTGCAAGCACCTATCGTGGGATTTTTTTATTTAGTTAGTTAGTTAGTCCCATGCCTGCCTTAGGTTCACCATATGTCAGAAATGATTGAAGGAACACAACAAGTACAAAAGCCACCTTAGACAGTCCACATTTGGACAGGATGAAAACCAAGCAGGCAGACCCTTCCAATAGCCAGACACCAAGTCAGTAATGTGGAGCCCCAGGAAGTGGTGGTGGAGGACTATCATATGGTTCGAGTGCTGGCTCATGTAGTTGATAATACCACCATTACACCTCTGATATACCATCCATATCCATGCCCCGTTCGCCCCAACAGCTCAATAGATATCTTGAGCAATGATCAATCTACTTGTTCCCAAGGAATTGGGAAATTGATGCTTCTGTTCAATGTTTGATGTTTTATGTCTGATATAACAGGTTGTGTTCTTTATTTAAATTTAGTTGTTGAGTCATAATTTGTTTTTATATATTGGGTTGCCAAATTTCATTACCATGGGTGTTTTGTTGTTGTGTTCAGGCACTGAATGTTTGCCTTTTATGTTTGGAATCTGCCCTGAATCCCACCTATAAAGCGATTGCAACTCCGTCGCGATCGCAACTCCATGAACTGGTGCAAACTCTAAGATCTTCCAGGGAGGCCCTCCTTTTGCTCCCACCACCGTCACAAGTATGGTTGGTGGGGACGAGAGAGGGCCTTCTCTGTGGTGGCCCCCCACCTCTGGAACACCCTTCCAAGGGAAATAAGACAGGCCCCATCCCTCCCCTCCTTTTGTAAGAAGCTTGAAGACCTGGTGGTTTCAACAAGCCTTTGAGAATGACCAGTTCTAGTCCAGCCCCAAACATTGTTGAATATGGCCTTGCACTTCTTACCTATTACCCCGGTCATCCCTCTAATAGGCCCTGGAAATGAGCAGCCACAGACGTGTATCTGCTATTGCTGTTAGCCTGTTATAGCACTGTACTTAATTCCCGGCCCCCTCATATTTTGAGTTTGCACTAGCCTTGGCCCGGCTTTTTAATTGCTATGAACAGGCAGGATTACTTTTAATATACATGTGTTATTGTGATAATTTTATGCTTATGTTGTTTTGTTAATTTTATGTTATGCTGTTTACTTTGTATGTTTCAGTGATGTTACTTGGAAACCGCCCTGAGTCCCCCTCAGGGAGATAAATAACGTTTTATTTTATTATTATTATTATTATTATTATTATTATTATTATTATTATTATTATTATTGGGTGGAATATAAATAAGGATTATTATTATTATTATTATTATTATTATTATTATTATCCACCCAGAGGAAAAGTGTTCTTGCCATACATCAAGGGAACCACTGACCACACAGGGAAGCTGATGAGGAAACACAACATACAAACTATCTACAGATCCACCAAGAAAATCCAACAAATGCTATGTTCAGCAAAGGACAAGAGGGATCCTCTCACTTCTGCAGGAGTCTACCATACCATGCAGCTGTGGACAAGTCTACATAGGGACCACCAAACGCAGCATTGCCCAAACATGAATCAAGGAACATGAAAGGCACTGCAGACTACTTCAACCAGAGAAATCAGCCATAGCAGAGCACCTGATGAACCAACCTGGACACAGCATTTTATTTGAGAACACAGAAATGCTGGACCACTCTCACAACCACCATGTCAGACTACACAGAGAAGCCATTGAAATACACAAGCATGTGGACAATTTCAACAGAAAGGAGGAAACCATGAAAATGAACAAAATCTGGCTACCAGTATTAAAAAAACTCTAAAATTGCAACAGCACAACAACAGAGAGGAAACAAACAAGGACATCTAATCACCTCTCAACAAAAGTTTGCTCCAGGCACAGTCAGGCCATTGTATGCTAATCAAGGTGGTCAGTTGAAACATTCACACCTAGCTCCAGCAGACGAGAGTCCTTTGTCTCACCCTGGTCATTCCACAGATATATAAACCCATTTTCTAGTTCCAACAGACCTCACTACCTCTGAAGATGCTTGCCATAGATGCAGGAGAAACATCAGGAGAGAATGCCTCTAGAGCATGGCCATATAGCCCAAAAAAAACCCTACAACAAACCAGTGATTCCGATCATGACTTCGACAATACAATATATATAAAATTGTATTATATTATTATTTTCATCATCATAATCTTTTTGGGCTGTGGCAGTAATGAAATCCATGAGAGGAGACCTTGTTTTATGGCACAGACCAATAGACGGTTACAGTGAAAATGAACTGGGTTTTCTGTACGCAATTTAAATTTTTTCCATTTTAATTACTCTTGAGAAACAGGGAAATAAAGTGTGAATTTCAGGAATTGTAGCTATAACACAAAAGTAGCTTCTGCTACAGGGGCTTTGAACTAAAAGTGCAACTCCATCTCTTGAACAAACAATCTCCGAAGCTCCAAGAAGGCAGCACATTGCCATTTTTTTGTCCCATCAGAAGAACATTTGGCAGCTGCGTCGCATGGTCCTGGGATGGGGTTCGGGGGGGAAGCAGCCCTTGCAAAGGAAGATAAGCCCTAAAAGATATAACAGCTCACAGGTGACCAAAAGATGGCAGAGAAAATGGATACACAGGCTTTGTCAGATTATGTCAGATTTATGTCAAGGCCTATTCAGCACCCGGCGGAGATTATGGTATGCTTTAGTGCTTTATGTCTCACGGCAGAAATGCCAGAAATGATTTCTGGGTCTGTCAGGACAGAAATCAATGAAAGTTAAGCAAAAACTCTGGCTCGGTTGCTGCAGTTTGACTTCTTCTTCTCCTTCGCACCCCCGTCCCACTCTCGGCCGGCTCTTTCCCTTGGATTAAGCCAACATATTGCTCTACGTGTCATGCATTCTATCAGGATGACAACACATCCTCGCTGTACAGGCATGATGTATCATACCTATTTCACATCAAAGGAACCTACGGTGATAAAAGCTTAGTAAGAATAACTTGCTGTAGCATAGCTATCATGAGGAGATCAGAACCTGGTTCTACCAGGCTTTCCAAGGCCAGAATAAATCAACTTCTGCAGGATTTCTGGCCACTGCAGGCATAACAAAGCGGCTTATGGGCTACAAACACAATTCCAGGGTTTAATATGGGTTGGGGGCATAGAAAGGCTAGACAACACTACTGTTAAGTGGATTGGGAAGTGGTTAACTGGCTGAACTCAAAAAGGTTGCTTCCCAAGGTCATTGACAAGTTGGAAAGTCTCCAGAGAGAGATGACCCAAATGAAGAAAGGTCTGGAAGCCAAGCCCTATGAGGAATAGCTGAGGGAGGGCATGAGGGTCATGTTTAAATACTATTTATTATTTATTCCACTCATTTGTACCCCATTCTTCTCATCCCCGGACGAAGACTCAGGGCGGCTTCACAACAGGCAACCATTAGATGCCAACACATACATTATAAAAAACAATTACAGTTGAAACCAAACAGTTAAAACATCAATTAATAAAACATCCACTTAAAATACACAAGTTGAAGATCATAATTCAAGGTCAATCCATGGTCAGTTACATAAAATCTCTCTCATTCTTGTTACTGCATCTACTGCTCCTGACCTGATGTCATTGGGGAGGGAGTTCGACAGATGAGGGGCCACCGCTGAGAAGGCTCTGCCTCTCGTCCCCACCAACTGTACTTGCGAGAATGGTGGGACTGAGAGAAGAGCCTTTCCAGACAATCTTAACCTCATTTCATTTCAACCTTATCTGAAATGAAGCCATGTATTCAAATTGAAGGGGGGGGGGGGCTAAAGCTAAACCTAAGCATTAGGGGAAAAAATGTCTAATGGTCAAAACTGTTTGACCATGAAATAGGCTACTTTGGAAAATTGATGGATTGTTGTCTGTTGAGAGTGCTTGGATGATGTGTTTTTTTTTAAGTTAAAAGGGAGTTGGTCATGAGTTTGAAGCCAGTCTGGGTTGGAGTGAGCTCCCAACCATTAAAAGTCTAGCTTGACTGTTGACCTATGCAACCCGAAAGACAGTTGCATCTGTCAAGTAGGAAATTTAGGTACTGCTTTATGCGGGGAGGCTAATTTAACTAATTTACGACACCATAAAACCGTCCAGCAGCGTGCGAAAGAATGAGGAAGTACTCCATCAAGGACTCGGTGTCATAAGTAGACCGTGAAGCAGCAGCTCCCCCTGTGGCCAGAATTGAGCATACCCTCATGAAGCCAGAAAGCTGGAATGTTAAATTGCCTCTGTGTCTGTCTTTGTATGTTGTATGTCTAATGGCACTGAATTTTTGCCATGTATATGTGCATTGTAATCCACCCTGGGTCCTCTGCAGGGTGAGAAAGGCAAAATATAAATACTGTAAATAAATAAAGAAATAAACTCTATGATTCGAAGGCCCTTCAGATAATGTTGGACTGCAACTCATAACAACCTTAGCCAGTATAAAAAGGTAGTGAAGAATG